CTGTTTGGTAAGGAGTGCAGCACCATTTACTTTGGTCCGACATGAGCCATCGATCAATCTTCAGGCCACAGCACTTCACTGATTAAAAATATAATTTGTGCAGACCTAATACATTAAAAAATTTTATCTATTTTAATGTATTAGGTCTGTATCTATTGTATAAAAAAAATTTATCTATTTTTTTATCTATTCGGAAATGTAAGATCGTGACCTAATACATTAATATACAAACAACGCACTTGATTACCTTGTGCTGGTCGATCAGAAGTGTTAAAATTGTCATACCAACGAAAAAGATCCATATATACGGAGCTGGCCAAATGCATTGATAGCAGAGTGTCTCACTGCTGGTTTGTTTGTCTATGAATTAATTTTTTTTATTTTTATGATGACAATCTAGATCTTAACACGTTGACTTCGAAGTAGCACATATGCGTTCCACGAAATGGATTTCTCCAGGGATTAGTGGTACATTGTTCATAATAGTGCTAAAAAGGAAATAATTGTACAAGATGAAGCAATCGGAGTCAACATGTTAATATTATTATCTGTTTTCACTGCAAGAAGTATTATTACAAAGACCATCATAATCGCTATCCAAAAAAAAAACGCCGAGAAAATGTAGTTAACAACGAACCACAAGGGGCACAATTGATAATTATAAGCATGTAAAAATATAAATGACAGAATTTTTAATTTAACAATCAAAATTTGTTTGGTGGTTTGTCAAGTTTGGACGCAGAAAACCAGTGAAAAATCAATTCAACTTCTGAACCTTACAAGTTCTAATACGATTTCAAATACTTATATCTATCAAATATCTGATGACAGCATGACGGAAACAAAATACGTTCTCCTGCTACTGCTACGACTCATGCTACAACTACGACTTTACGACAGGGCTGAAGTACCTGTCGTAAAAATTTACACACTCATCTTATAACCCACAAAAAAGTGAATTCCAGAAAGAGTGAAGGCATCGACCATGGTTGAACTAGTATAAGATTGACCCATTAGAAGCCCATTTTTGCGGATGTAGTTCTTTGTTCGCCTGTGACGTCACTGATCTCAGTGACGTCACGGGCATTAACCAATCACCGAAATGCGATCAAACCAGTCTACCAATCCGTCATGTGAATGACGGGTTTGTTTACGTTTCTCGATCTACGTGACGTAACAAGAATGCTCAACTTAAAGACGTGGGTCAACCTATGCATCTATAACCACCTCATGAAAATTGTGGCGAGCTGCTTGATAGGCCTTGGTGCGATGCCATCCTTGGGCGATGTCATCCCAACAAAAATAGTCTCCTACTGGATATTCATTGCATTTTTTGTATTTACTGAATCACCTTACGTACATTACCAACCAACATAGTCTTGAAAATTATCTCTGAACCGTTGCTGTTAATCCTGAACTATAGACAAAAAACTTCATATTTAACTGCCGCTCACATCTGGATCCAAGTGGCGTTTCCTTCAGTCCAACTAGTTTTAGTTATATTTCCGTGTTCCAATGCTTCAAATATTCAAAGTTTCATATACCTGCCCCTCGTTGGTTCTATGAATTTTCTGATGACGTTCATTGCCTTATTTTTCAAAGCCGGCACTATGATTTCAAAACAACACCTCAAGCATTGTGTGGATTCTTACGAACGAACATGCGAGGCTGCGAGCTGTCACCGTGCACGAAGTCCTCTAGAAAACCAAAGCCCCACAAGGACCTCGAAATTATTGTGCTGTCCCTCAACTGTTGTGTCACGCTGGACGGATCAAGATGGCGCGTGATTAATTAAACGGACGTTCGAAACATTTCTGCCGACGCGTCGGACGTAGCAGCTGCTCTATTGCTAAGGCCGATTGTCCCTGGCTGTTGTGGTTTCCATTGACCTGCTAAAGATAATTTTTTACTTATACGCAATCGCCCTGAGATCAACTACCTTGTGAACGATTTTGTTTTTGGCTCTTCAACAGTCTTGGTAGAATTATGCTCATATTCACGGCGCCAACCGAACTCGACGATATAACGGTTAGTTTTGGTAAAATTGGAGCTCGTGGTCCCATTCTACACGTGCTATTATTATGTTCCATAATAATTTTCAATCACTGCCTTATTGGAAAGACAATTTGCTTGCCAGCGCATTTAACAAAATCAGATACGTCCAGGTAATGAACTTACCTATAAATTAGCGGACATAACGCATTGCTGCTATAAGCTTTTATAAAGATTCGGTAATTGTAGGATCAAAACGTGATATAGTACAACTGTGATCGAGGGCATGAATTTAATCAAGATTAAACATCAGAATATTATCGACCCTGATTATAGCGCAAAGTCAATTTAGTATTCCAACAGAAGTGATTAAATCTGGATATAATGCTTTTTTTATCATGTCTCGAATGTTCCAATGTTCTAGATATTGGTAATGTTCCACTGTTAGCAGTAAAAAGAAGCTGAACACTTGCTTCGTCTCGCACTGCTGCCATCCGACATCTTGGTCAATATTTGCTTAACTGCAATATGGACATGGTGACCAGGCTGTAAATATTCTACCAAGCCTAATTGTTGGTGCTTTAATTCTTGAACATCTTGTTTTCCATTATTTTTAACCAAATTGATTTTTGAGTAGTATCCTATTTATACGATTTTGTACTAGGGCAATTCAAATTTCAGCGTTCAATGCGTCATGTAACTTGATAATGAATAATTGGTACATTGAAAATGTTGTTAAACAAATGAAAATGTCCAGCGGTATCATGATGTTCAATTTACCCGTGCAAACGAAACAGATTGTTTACTATATTAAAAGACTAACGGAAATTTTTTAAATAAAACAAATTCTCTGGTCTTCAATGAAAACTGCTTAAAGAAACAAATTCTGCCAACCTATACTAATATTTAGAACCCTTAAGGATAATAATCCATTCTCATTCGCTCTAAATTACATTAGTATCGATGCTGCAGACACTTGTTGAAAAGTTAATTCTTTTTTCGCCGCATCAGTATTTAAATTATTTACTACCTATTCCAATTTAAATTGAATTGAATTTAGATGGCAAGGATAAGGCACTCTTTTAAGTTTTTTGCGATGATCTACAACACGGCGTAAAGATAAACCCTGTAATTAAACTCATTCTTGATATCTCACCATCGGAAATGAGCTTCTATTCGCTGATGGCCGATGGATGCACCTGAAAGCTCTATATGCAGCCACAAGTTCTGTTCGAACGCCCGGTGTGGGCTTACGTTTGGTCGCTAATATTCCAGAAAACATTTCTTGGGAACTAATAATATTGATGTAGAAGACAGCTGATATTTCCAACGCTAGTCATTTCCCAATGTATACAGGGCTCCAGGAAGCAGCATGATTCCCTATACACAGGAGGAAAAATTCAAGGAAGGTTGGACATTCATTTCTGACATAGATAAATAATCCAAATTATTTATGAGTAATGCACAATGAGTAATGCACAGGAAACTGTACACAGTACATTACTCATTGAGAAGCTTAATTTATTGTATTAATAATGCAAATTAAAAACAACGAACAATTCTAACAATCTCGGAAGTTCATTCTCGAAAATTCATCGAGTCATCACATTGTTCAGAGATGACGAACCATTCTCTATTGCCAGATCCACTCTGAATCCTAAATGGTCATTGGCTTGCAAACCAAGCTTCTAGACTTGGTCATTTAAAAAAATTTGCCCCAGCCGTTTAAGGTGATTTTTTTTAATCAGCGGTCACTAAGACTCTGTTATTGCGTAGAATGTTAACAAATAAATGACAGATGAACGACCTTGTCTCTTAGACGGATAAATAATTTATTTGTCGTAGTCTCGCCAACCGGTGCCCATCTTAAGTTATGCGGTTGCCGAGTGTCATTCATTTGTATGCTCACTGCTCTGTTGTTCTCCGAAATTCTTGTCATGAACCAGGTACTTAAGGAAGAAGCATTTTGCGTTTATCAACAAACCGTCACCGGTTGCTTCACTGAGTGCATTGTCTAAGTGCGCCTGCTGCTCTGCTTATTATTTGAAAAATCCTATATTGGCGACTGCGTGATACACAAAGATGGCGTCCAAACTTGCGGTAAGTTGTGACTTTGCTGATGATTATGTTACTCGATCGTTTATGGTTGTTTATCATAGTATTTCTGAAATCCAATTCGGTCAGTATCGAAATTTCTGTGCTTTTGCTTAGCAAATTGACAAATTACTGAAATATCGGGTGGACACACCTCTATTACTCATGCTATGGTGTGCAAAATTAAACTCGTCGTTCTTATGTCAATCATATATAAAAAATGTTAGATTTCTTTCATTTTAATTAGAAAAACTCAGATAAACTTTTCAATCAACTCAAAAAGATCTGTCACTCTTAGTTTTGGAAAAGCGCCAGTATTAATAACTGCCATATGCCGAGGTGGACCGCACAGCCGCTTTATTGACGCAGTTAGTTGGGCCAGTTTAGCTTCACTATTACGGCCCAACAACGGTGAAACAACTATCAAAAATCTGATTGAAGATGATTGATGAAAAGAGTCTTGTAATTGAATCAAAAAATTCAAATCCAGACGTCAGTTAGCGCGCTCTAGCTCGGAATGAAATTTTTGTTAACCTAAACTGGTCAAACCGAGAGTAATAATAAGATTTATAGGATGACCACCTGATGGATCTTTACTAAGGAGGATAAAGTTATTCAGCCTCAGAGACATCTTCAAATAATATTCTAGCAACGTCTAGATGCTTTGACTGGGAGCATGTATTCGCGTGTGATTTACTGATACTTGAATCGAAGTTTCATAGCCGACAATATGTATGGGCATTAACAGGTAGGAGCGACTGCTTGAACGGGAATGTATGAAGGAGCAATGGCCTATAAGGGAATCAATACAAATATGTAACAGTAGTATAAATTCTTCTTACTTAACAAAAAAAATTGTTTAATCAAATACCATAAACATTGATAGCGAATAATCCTCCCTTGATCACCTACAGCTCGTCCTCCTGCTGTTGCTGAGCGCCATGGTCCTGATCGCGGGAGGACCCGTCCCGTACTTCCACGCCAAACACAGAGCTCACCGACGCTACCTCGAAGACCGGTATCCAGGTTATGGAGGGTATAGAGGTTATGGAGGCTACAAAGCCTATAAAGCCCATAAAAAGGCCGAACATGCCAGAAGATCTTGGGCCTTTGAGGGCTTTGGAAACTTTTAACAGCGATGGCGAACAACGTAAAGACGACGCGTTAGTCAATATCGAATATGGCTCACCGGTAAATCGTCTCGGCCACATAATCGGAGGTTGAAGCCATGAAAATCGATTTGGAAGTTTCATTTGAGATTTCATCTACAAATTATTATTAATTACAAATTAATGTATTTCTGAATTGTATCTGATATATAAATTAAGTTCACTTGATTGCTTAAATCTTAATTAAGAACTGACCATGGAGATAGACTCCAAAACGTTTTATCGCATAAGAAATGGTGAATTTTTCAACGGCTTTATTTGCTTTTCAATTCTTGTTAATTATATCTTAATTAATTTAAAACATAAGATGACGTTGAAAATTCATTTCGAAATTGTATGTTGATATCGAACGTTACCGTGTGTGGCACATCTGCTCTGCAAATGAACATTTTCTTTGAATGTTTGCGAGAGAACTCTAGATGGGTTTAGTTAACGTTACGTATAATTTTATTTAATGTATTTGACGTCTGTTCCTCTTACCTTATTCAAATTATTCCTTAATTTATTTAATTTAGATATGTATGTATTTTCAGTTAAGGACCGTCAATATTTTTAAAATGATACTCTTCAATCCGCGGTATATTCAGTAACTCGCACTATTGAGAGAAACTCAACTTCGCACATGTTGAACCGTGCGAAATGGCTGTATCGGATATTGATTGCAGGATACACGGTTCCACCTCTTACTGTTCGGATTTGAGGATTTTGGAATCACTACGTATCTTCAAACAAAAATCATGTTTCAATAATGCGTTCAGTACCTATCCTCTTGGAATAGTGATCGAATCGCTAGCCTTTTTTATTCTAGTGTTTTTTTAGCCATTTATGTTCTAGTCTCCTATGACTCAGTGTTCCGCGGGTGCTTGTTTTTAGATTTAAGGTTGTTTTGCGTTTTATTTGTCTTTTTTAAGTTTTAATCTCTGACTTAGAACTTTAAATTATAGAATGATTGTATTAATTTTTTAGATTATCGAACTGACGATGGAGCTGGACTCCGAAACGTTTTCAATATCGATATGGTGAATCTGTTTGGCATTTTCTTTGCTTTTAAATTCCTTGTGAATTTGCGATTTAAGCAGACTGATAATGTAAGAAACTCAACTTAATTTATAGTTTTCGGATAATTTTGATAATAACACGTGAGAAAAATAATAAATTATCGCTTTTATTATCCCTTCATGAACACATTGGTACAACTTCAGAAGTCAGTCAAACTGAAAAAAAAAAAAACGATCTTTAGATTTCAGGAACTTGATGCTATGATAACTTTTACTTGATGTTATTGTCTAAACTCAAAATATAGTTACCTTAAACTCGCAACGCCGAGTTATGTACAAAACTTGAGCGCGACTTCCCTTTTCAGTGTAAGGAAAAATTTATTAGTACAAAAATAGATATGGAAAGGAAACGGCTTATATTAAATAATTCATTATTTCTAAACAGTGTTCATGAGAACATAAAAACAATCTTGCGAAAAGTGGATTGGCCTGAGCTGCTGCCCGGTGGAAGCCAGGGAGCACAGAGAAACTGACGCGCAAAGTTCCATGCCGCCATTCCTGTCAAATAAATGCAACTGATTTGAATGTAACGCACCTAATTCATATATTAGCAAATTAGAGCACGCTGAATATTAGAGTCTAGAATATCGTCTTCCGTGTAAAAATGCGGACCTATAGCAGCTGTGGTTTTAAATTGAGTGGCAATCGTAAAAATAAGTTTGTAATAACTTGGTAAATAATGAATATATTTTCAGTTGGAAGAAAAGGAGTATCTTAATATTTGGGTGAGAGTAGTGAAGGGAAGACGGTTATCCATAATGGTAACCGGCCGGAGCTACAAATTGACACAACACCCTGAGCTTAAGTGACGAACAACCAATCTGCAGCATCCGGTCCTCTCCTCAGCTCTTTCCGAGACCCGTCCTCCGTGAGAAGAGCTGAGACCGGAGTTCGCATTTCCAACACGTTCAGTGAGTGTTGGAAATGCGAACTCCGGCCACAATCATGCACGGTATTGAAATAGAACAGGTAGGAAATTAAACATGTCGTAAAATATACGTCATTTGCTGAGGTTAGGTTCAAGTCAAGAACAAGTTCCTATGGCGACAATCGCATAGGGTGGTTAGGTTAGGTCTGATTAGGGTGAGGCAACGTTAGTTCAGGTTAGGTTAGGTTAGGTTAGGTTAGGATAGGTTAAGTTAGATTAGGTTGTGTTGTGTTAGGTAAGGTTGGGTGAATTAAGGTTAGGTGAGGTAAGATTAGGTTAGGACAGTTTAAGTTAGGAAATGTCAGGCTGTGTTCAGTTCGGTTAGGTTAGGTTGGGGTTTTTTGGCTAGGTAAAACTAATGGAAGATTGTTTTAAACACTAATGATACACACAGGAAAAGGCCACAATTGGGGGAATGCTGTGTGTAGTAGGAAATGTGTGGCAAGAAGAAGAGAGAAAATGAAAAAAGTAAAAAAAGTATAGCCGCTGATCTGGTTAGTTGGTTTAGTCTTCTAAAGAATTCAGACGTTCTAGCCTAAGCCTACAAATCAATTATAAAAAACTTGCTTCGTCTGCTACACTTTCGGGCACACGACACTATCAAATTAAAGGTGAGTAGCGGGACAGTTCAGACTGAACATCTGGCCCTGCTTCTCAATTTTTCACACTGCCAGTACTAGTCTTATTTTGTGCTCGGATAAAAAACTATTGCTTGCTGTTGTTTCAAGAGCAACGTTTACCAGATAATGGCATCTCTTGATGTCATGGAGACAATGCCCAAACGTTCAATTTTTGGGCTTTTACCTCATGGGCCGCACACAGTTTTACTCATGGTTGAATGGTGCTGTGTTTGCAAGTAGTATGTACGGTGGTAGTACATACGTATGTACTAGTGAGCTAGTAAGCATCTTATTCAGGACCTTGCATTCACAGTGAAGAAGAAGTGATAGAGAATAAATAATCACTTACTTTTCGTGATACCGCAATATACTTTACGGTATGATGTCAACCAAACAATAACTCCAGTGACCTATTGTACAGTGAACTATTATTTTTGATCAGTAATGTAAGAGCGCACGGTGCTTCCACGTGGAGCACCGTTCGGAGAAACATTGGATAAGGGAAACCAGAAACAAAAGCAATCCTGACATACAAAGTCGGACAGAAAAACACGAAGAGCGAAAGGTTGTCTTCAAAGATGTGGAACCTGGAGTGCGTAAATTCTAACTTAAATCTCATTCATTGGTACGGAAGCATGACTTCGAGGCAAAGAAGCGGAATTTTTTTCTAGTAATAATAGGAAGTTTCTGAATGATAAGTTGAATGTACAGTCTATCTGAATGTAAACTTTGATGTAACTCAATACAAAGGGAGTTAATTGTCAATTTTTAATAAAACGATAAATAAATAATATTGCACTGTCACATTTGACTTCAATGATTTTATATCAGTAACTCTCAATTTATATGATTTAAATCTACACAGGATCTACAAAGTCTTGCCCGTTGAGCCGCATCCCACATTGTAATCCATCTCAACACCAGCATTTTATCAATGGATTTAATAATTTATATAATTTATTAATGTACATTCGAACTGATGCTCTATACAAGGTATTTGCGTCCAACATTATTGAAATGAAACAACGTAAACCGATACAGCGTTTTAATATCACAGCATTGCAATGTATCATATTACTTAAACCACAAATTGAAATAATTTATCTAAGCTACTTTTAAAACAGATAAGGCACATATATTGTACTCGATAGTATTACTGCATAGCGTATTAAATCAAATTCGAGCACACCTCACATAAATACCATACATTTATTTAGCATTACATTTAGTAGGCTCTCACCCACTTGTATCACACGTAGATTTGCGCTCGGACATAAATACTGCTAAAAAATACTTAAATGAAACGAAGTTGTCTATCAGAACCTTAAAGGTCATGAAATTTTTCCTCAACGTAAATCAATTCTAAGATTCTAAGCAAATCATTTTACTCAACATAGATCACTTCACTCAACATAGATCACTTCACTCAACATAGATCACTTCACTCAACATAGATCACTTCACTCAACATTCAACGTAAATCACTTCTAAGATTCGAAGTAAATCACTTCACTCAACGTAGATCACTTCACTCAACATAGATCACTTCACTCAACATAGATCACTTCACTCAACATAGATCACTTCACTCAACATAGATCACTTCACTCAACATAGATCACGTCACTCAACACTTCAATAAACGTAAATCAGTTCACTTTAGAAGCTAAGAATCAGAAAATAATTTCAAGCAACAAATATTCGATCATAGAGAATTTACCTGTTCTTCAGATAAACGTGACAACGAACGTAAATAAAAACGCGATGCTCTAACCTACAGAAAACGTTGCTAATATAGAGCAATCGTCGAGATCATTTGAGAGGGACTGTAAGATTTTTCGTATAAAAGATTAACTCTAACGGAGTAATATGAATAGATGAACTAAACTGGTGTTTATTCTGCATTGCTGATAGGCAAAATACTACAGCAACCGATGAATGTTCCAGAATCGCAATTTGAGATAATTTCAAGCTTGTATTTTACGAATTTTCATCGCTGGACGAAGAATTCAAAGCAATAATCCTTTTTCTATTCTTAGCATTATTCTTCCCTAAAGGGCGTGGCACCATCAACGAGTCTTCAACATCACCACCCAGCAATTGCGTTTCGTACTCCACGCAATCGTTCGGGACAACGAAAGTGTCGTCCTCTTCGGCATAGCTGTCGTCATCACCGTCATCATATGCATAAGGCTGACTGCATACTGCGGATCTAGACAAGCGTAATTCACCGCGTGGATCCAATTTTCGTTTGGATTTGACGGCAGGGCTTCGAACGGAACGAAGATATACCGCACGCATGTCGGTACCAGCGACCTGACTGCACTGGATATCGTCATCAACGAAACTTTTGTCGTACGCAGATTCGTCGACCGCCTCTTCATCCTCATCGCTGCTGACGACCACATGGCTGTCTCGGGACACATCTGCCTCGGTGTTCACGAAGATGAGAGGTCGACGCTTCGCTTTCAGCTGAAAGAGATACATATTTGTTCGTGAGGATAATATTGTTTTAAATTCAAAGTGAGTATAAAGTTGCTCCTATAATAATGTACAGATTTATTCAGGTAATATGTTTCGTAAAGTGTACAGAAACTGTAACATAATATGGGGAATGAGAAATCTCGCCTTTTTCTGCACTCCAATTTCTTGTTTCTCCTGCTTCACACCAAAACGCCTTGGAGGAGCTCGAGCACAAAAATCGAACTCATCGCTTCCGTCGCTGGCGCAAGAAGACTTTGAGACCGCTGAGTGGTCTTTGTCAAGGAGAGACATAGACGATGTTTCAGTGACAGAAGAATCGTTACTGCGCGACGAGGAAGAGTTCGTTTTCCGGCGATCTTGGCCGGGTGAAGTTGAAACATTGTCAGTGGAAGAGTCCGAGTCGATGATATTGCCAGGCCTGGTAGAGCGAGCCCGGCGAACCTGCAGCAGTGACACATCTGGTACGTCTTCATGCAGTGTTAGATCAAAAGTAACCCGCGTTACTTTTTTCACGGAAGTGATCGCAGCCTCGGAAGATATAGGTTTATTAATAGAAGTTTTTTGCTCATCATTCATTCCAGATAAATTAATTCTTTTAACCATGGAACATTCGTTTGCAGATGCTGGTGATTGTTTCCTTTTTTCATTTTCATGAAGCACTGGTCGTACCTCATTTCTTGAATAATCGCTTAATTCAATATCATGAGTTTCAATAGTGTGAGATATTTCACTCGTGTTACTGGCAGGTATCAAATTCATTTCGATGCTATCAGATGAAGGAGCAGATCTTCTTAAAGCTAGTTTTCTCCTGGCATTAGGCAATATTTTACCAGACTTCCTCTGTGTATTAGATGACCGTGGGCCATGAGATAATACTGGACTCCTGCTTTCCAAAGCGACACCATCGGTTAACATGTCATCGTCTGGAGCTTCCAAAACATCTAGTTTATTCGTTGAAGGAGCCTTTGTTTGGCTCTCAATTTCTTGATTGATTGAAGATTTCATATTTTTTAATGGAGACACGTTTTCATCTCTGGTCTTTATCCGAGAGAAGCTAACATGTTTGGAAGTAGATGCTATCGCAGTTGCTACTCCTTCTAGAGAAAAGTCTTGAACTTGCCATTCTGGGAGCTCCGAAACTTCATTCTCGATACGTTCATTGTGTTTTCTGTTATTTAACCTAGACCATCTGGACGATTTCAGCGTGCGTTCAGAATTAAATAACGTTTCAGGTGCAAAGCGAACTTCTGTCTCATGAAATGATGGCTCTTCTTCATCATCAAATATATCAAATGACAGGTTCATATTTAAATTACTAGCTTTAGGACTAACACATGAATAACTTGAGTTCGCGGTACTTTTACCGGTTGATTTCAAAGAAGAGGCTTGAGTACGACCCGCTAGAATATTTTCGACATTTTTTATTCTTTCGCTATTTTTTCGTAAGGTCTCTTCATCAAATTTCGTGAGCACGTCTGAACAGCCAACCTTTCCCTGATTCTCATCAGTGACAGTCATCTTATCCTCAGTGTACGATGCATCACATCCACGACTCACGGTAGTTATTTCTGAAACTAACTGAATTTCGGAGTCGTTGTTGGCACCTTTTTGTTCCATATTTTTTCGATGCGGAGAACATTCCGGAAGAGAAGCTACACTGCTCTCATTGATCAAATTGGCAGCTTGGGTCATGCTCAAGAGGTCTGTGGTAGAATTACATGAGCGGGGAGAAAGAGGTTCCTTCCGCAACCGGAAATCAGACGTTGTCATGATTTTAGATCGTGTTTCACCGCTCTTACACACGCGTACACGAGAAGAGTTGACAATGTTCCTTGTATGCCCATCAACGTGCCTAGCTTCTTTGTCCACGGATCGTATCGATGAGACAGCCGTCTGATTAAACATAGAATCAACTTCTTCGTCAAAAAATTCGGAGTACTTCGAAGTCACAGCATCTGAGCGGCTGAAGGACCTTGCACAATCAAAATTATTGGAGGAATTTGATAGAAAATTGCAGTTTCTCTGGAGAGGGACGTCGTTCTCACATCCAATAGCAGAAACGTCCGAATCCGCTAGTAAATCTGCGATTCCTAGATCAAACTTGACGAAAGGAACTGCATGGGACACAGAAGAAGTGGACGAATTGAGACATTTTCCTTGAGATTTACCGCAAGATTGATTTGACGCAGATAACTTAACTCGGTCTGGAGTGGCGACATTATTTTTTGGAACCTTCCAGGTCAGTGGAGATTTATGCGCGTCTATTCTCTGCGCATCTTTAAAGTGATCATGAATAGGTGGCGAGTAACAAAAATTTCTCACAGGCGTCACCTTTTCATTATTTAGATCAACGGCGTAACGTACACTGGCAGTGGAGACGACTTTACTGACGTTACTAATTTCCTTTTTCGATGAATAAGGTTTTAATAATTTGGAATCCTTATGATTTTTCAATTCTGGTTTTGATTTCTCTGATAACTCAGATGGGAAAAGCAAGTGACTATTCTTGTTGTGGTTGTCAGTCGTTGATCTGTTATCTGGAAGGCTATCACTCACTCCATGTTCTGATGTATCTTCGTCGCCTGAATGGATCACACTGAGGCCGTCAGAGAAAAGGCATTTGGCAGACTTGCGGAACTTGGTCAATTTTCTCGGTCTGGATGACGAGAAAACCGGTGAAGTAGAATCATTAGCTTGATATGCTTCTGAATTATTACTAAATAGAGATTTTTTGATAGAGCTCAAAGGACAATCAGGTGCCAAGCGATTCGGTTGAAATTCTGCGTCAGCCAATAAACTTTTTTGAAGCCCAAAGCCACTGGTAGTAGAGATCTTGCGAGAATTTTCAACTAGAGGAGTTGATGATGCTAATCCTGGAGGACGCAACTGTTTAATTTTTGGAGTGGCGTCTGTTGGCTCTTGTACTCGAGTTTGAGCAAGAAATTCTTTGTTTGAATCAATATTTGCGACTGAGACGCGCAATGATTTTGTCAATCGATTTGCATTAGGTGAAATACTTGGTGACAAGTTTGTGCAGGAGTTTACATTTTTGGCTTTTTCTACATAAATATTATCATTTCTCAATTCGTTGCCTTTGTCCCTCAACTTAGGGAATAAATTTGTAAGTGATCTTATATCATTATTTGCAGAAATGAAGGATGCAAGTTTTTCCATTGACTGCATATGTTTCATATCCAATTTCTCCAGATACTGGAGTGAGTTTGAAGAAATACTTTCATAGTCCAATGTATTATCAATATGAGGAGGAGTTAGAAGACTTTCATTGTCTGACCAGAGACCAATAAAATAATTTTGATTGCCACTATCATCACATTCATCATCACTCGTGGATGGTGAATCAATAATGAAAACTTCTTGCTGCTCATTGGTATTAACACTGCTCTCATGAACAAGTGTGTCTCTGTGTCCTCCATCAAATTTATTATCCCGTTGATTTTCAGCCTGAAAACAATCACTGACAACACCACACATTTTGTCCTGACTATTCTTCATATCATTGAAGTGTTCCATGATACTCCGCTGACGACTCATCCTGGCGTCATCACCAGCAACTTGTGTTGCCTTTTTCTTCCTCCTGCCCTTCGATTTGATTTCCTGACGAGTCTTTGTCTTAGGAGCATGATCTTGGATTGCTTTGCTTTCAGGGTCAGAATCTGTATGAAATGATATCAATGAATAATTAGTGCAAAATTATAATTTGAGCAATGAACAAACGATCATTAAAAATTATGTGCCAGAATCACTAGAAATTTAAATGAAAATTACAAAATATTGCTAAACTCACAATTCCAGCAATAAATTACAAACTGACTAAAACAAATGATGTGTTTTTAACCTTAGCCATTCCCAATGTGACGGGAGGATAAACAAGATAGAATGAGAAGTTGTTATCTCTAACAAAATTGGATCATAGTTGCTTCATTGACTAAATCATAAAATATTTGAGAAATTAGAAAAAATTTTACCTTGAAACTCAGCAATAGCATCAGCAGTTGGTAGAGGTGGAACGCAGGCAGGATCAACAAGCCTCGAGTCAATGATATTAGTGAGGGAAACAAGCTGGTGGCATCGAGGGCCAGGAAGGAGAGTACATGAACGTTGTGTGCTTGACTGCCATGGCTGATACTCCCAAAATGAAATGCATCCTTCCCCATCTGTTTTATCTGAACAAAATAAGATATAAAAATTCCATGTCTATACATAAGTTAGCCATCATAAACATCATTTATACATCATCATCAACTGCAGAAACAAATTAATCTACTGGAGAACATGAAGCTTGCCAGAATACGGTTAATGGTACTTGCCATACAAATCTATCAAACATGAGACATGAGTGTAATGAGACATCAACAGTGCCCTTTATGTGTAGGTATATAGAATTTTAAGCAATAGGTAACACATCAATAATAGCACCTAAAGTAAAAGAACACACATAACAATGAGTTATTTTGAGTGATGCAATCAAATGTACATCAAATTACTCGAAATCTTCTAAATAATAGAGTGAGTAGTAAGTAATTGCCAAAATATATAGGATGCACAACTTATAACACATTTCTCTTAATTATGGTTAAGTAAAAACATTCACTTTGTTCCTAACTTCCTGATGGATAACGTTGCTAAAGAGTACCTACTTATATATATACCTGTATTTTGATGGCTCAACAGAGATGGTGATTTTAGCTTCTTAGCAACTTTTCCAGCTGATAGTGAGAGATGTTGCTCACGCCATAGATTCTCCGAGGGAGTGAGGATGCTGCAGCCATAACCATCCTTCAGCAGCAACTAGAAACATATGTTAACATCATGTTACATTCATGACTAGTGCATATGATGCAAGAGATCATAAAAGAGATTTAAATGATTTGGGGACAATCTCAAAGAAATCCTGAAAATCAATTGACAGCAAAGCAAAATATAATTGGGGCCCTTTTTGATGCTGTGTAATGAGCAAGAGAACTACCAGTAATACTAAAAGCTTGTTGCTTTGATAACATGTCAACCACCATCTTGCCCAGACAGACATAATTTTGACAAGCATCTTGCAATTTTACTCACCTTCTGGCGAGTATTTGATGTCCCAAACAGAGACTTGTGGGCAGTTTGTGGCGCACTTCTTGTTTTTTTGAGATTAACTGTAACTTGATATGATTTACCTTCCATAACTGACCTTTGAAAATAATAATACAGCAAAAAATTTCAAATTTAAATTATTTTCAGCAAGCATCTAGTCAATTACCTGAATTATGGATTCAGATACACCTGTGGGATAGACTCAAGTTTATCAGGTATAGGTACACAGTTTTAGAGTGTATGTATAGCAAAGCTCTCATTGTCAATCACTCAAGCAGCTAGATACAAGAATTAACTCATTGAATCAAAATGGTATAGCATCTTCCATATTACACCATTGGCCTGTTTGGCCATGCTCAAAAAGATACACCATCAAATGGGGTAATAAGGGACAGTTTTGAGCATTTTTCATTGATAACTTTTTACCTAGAAACATTTCATAAACAAGTTTAGGCTCATTTATAGCTCTTTGCAAGGGCTATCACATGGCATCTTAAAAAAAATTCCATATGCTATTCATAAGATGCCAGACGCAAAATAAAAACGTCCCGAATCAATCCTGGGAAGGAGATAATCCAGGACACTTGATATATAACTAAATTGCAAAACATCTGAAGCATGCAGAGTATATATACTCATCTATTACTAACAGTAATCTGAAGTCCTCCTTTTTCTTTGTAAATGATGTAGAAGTAGAATAAATGACAATTTCTATGATTTTTACTTGTTTTTCCTCTATTGATATGACATTACCATATCCATATATTATAGCAAGTGTCAACTGAACATGTAATAAAGCAGTCTGACCGCTCTAATGTGACCAAAACTATGCAATCAAAAAAACGTTGTTTACATTTTTTGCGGGAACTCATTGCAACTGATTTCCGGACAAGCTTCGCTGCATCGTATTCCATCCAACGCACCGGAAACCTTACTTTTTTTCTAAATAGTTGGCCGAAGACTGAGAAATATATTAAATGCAAGAATTTCAATCTAAATGTGTCGGCTGCTTGCTGAAGATCTTCTGAAGGCGAAAATTTGGCTACTGAAGCGTCGCCAAAGATCTTGCAATATTCATCCACTCTCTGCACAGTGGACCACAGCTGGGCCGCCTGGGCGATCATCAAGGACATGTTTTGGGTAGACTTGTTGTTATTAAGCAGTGCAGGATATTTTGGCAGGAGCGTTGAATTACTGCTGATTCCGCCATCAGTGAGGAAGTTGAAAATTTTATGAAATGACATGTTTGCAAAGTGCAAACTGCAATTTTTTTCAATCAAACAAAAATGCATGACATTAGAGCAGCGAGATTTCACACCTACTAAAATTCTATGATATTAAAGCCACAATATTTCAGAAAAAAGTAGGACTTTTCCAACCCTGGTATAGGATAGGTATGAGCATAACAAAGTCTAAACTAGAAAATTGGATAGAAACCCCGTTAGGATGAGTGAAAAATGTCTATCCTTTGGGACAATTTTATTCAATCCTATAGTGAGAGTCTTATGCTTTATCATTTTATGAAAATAATCCAGGTCACCCGCAATCCAGGCCAACCCCGCCCAAGGTGTCTGGAGTGGAAAATTGGGCAAGAGCCACCTGTGAATTGGACAAAAATGCCTGTGAATCTGGCCAATTTCATGCAATCCTGCAGCCTTTAGACAATTTCTCCAGTGTGAAATAAGAAATAATACCCATTTCCTCCTGCTATTTTTTTTTTTAAATTACCTGAGAGACAATTGTGTTTACCAAAAGTTGAAACTTCTGCCTGAGTGAATGAATAACTAAAGATTTTTGGTTTCACTGTCACTTTCACATTAGCATCAAACATGGTGGCAATCCATAGGTTATTCAAAAGAACCTGTTCTTATGTCATTTTGAACCGATCAACGCTTCTTTACGGACCGATCGTAAAACACCTTCACCGGCAAAAGCTTTTGCACTTCTGAAGAAAGTCAGCTGACAGCTACACCTGTCTCTTATACACATCTAGATGTGTATAAGAGACAGTATATCAACTTCGAAACTGTACATATTTTAAAATTTAGTTGTTATGAGACCATAACTGAGAAAATGTTGCTCAATGGGTTAGTCCAGTCGTAAATGAGACTTTCGTTATTCCCTTCCTACCCCCCCCCGCTGAGCCGGACCGGTCGATGCTCTTGCAAACGCATAAGTCCTCACAATAATTCCCTGCCACCATGGGCCATCAAAATAGTTGTCTTTAGTAGATCTTGCCACGACTCACGAGGGAGAAAGCCAGTCGTGTTGGTAAAACTATTTAATTTACAAATAGTGAGATATTACTTTGGAAATTAAAAATTCGAATGCAAATAACAATACGAAAAGAGATTTTGAATGTTTGAGAGCGCAAGACCGTACACGTGCTTTCGCAATGAACGCAACTGCCTTTCGGCTACTCCTGCCCCTGGTGAAGAATAACTTAGCAAATTGTTTCCGCAATATGAACTAAAATACTTAAGGGAAGTATTAATTGATTATTAAGATATAAAAAATCTATAGGCGTCGATTAATGTCTCATATATTTAACCATTTACATAGAAAATCTGGTATAATTCGAAAAAGTGAAATTTTTACTAGAATATGAAATCAATACATTCAATTTTCACTTTCATAATACTGAGAATTATTTTGGGTTTCCGATCATTTCATTTACTGAAAATATTTAGGAGAAAAGCAAGAATTGCCCGGAATAATTTCCAAATTTCCAGCGTTGTTGAGTCATTGCACTCAAATCTAATATGGATAATAAAATTTAATACGTGAACTTTTCAATCTTGATTGGTACTCATAAGGTACTGATTGTTGTCTCAGAAGAAACCCAATTCAATATGCCGATTATTGAGCAATATCTACTAGCATATAATCGGCAAATAAAATTCCAATCGACCGCTAATACTTAATTACGTCTAACACTTAAAAATCAACTGACGTGGACTAAAAGAAATAAAAGCTTTTCAAAACAACTGATTCCGCGACGATTCATAAATCTCAGCAAGCGCATCCGTGCCATCAGAGTTGGCACCCACTTCTCAAGTGGGCATCGGATATATCTGGCATATAGCCACCATCATCTGCTCACCGGCCTGCTGCCAGCTTTTGAGCTTCAGTGCAGACTTGCAATCATCTGTGGTAGTAGAAGTTTATGAACTTGTATAATTATGAAGTTAGTTTAATGTTAGCAGAGCGTGGTTACTACAGACTTTAGTTACAATGAGTCCCTAGAATTGACGTGCAAATGCTGAACTTCATTCAAGTCAGAGAATTGTCATTTAAGTAGTTACTGTTTTAATTCACTAAATTTACACCTTTATTAGATGGTTTACATGTATTGAACTGGTAAACTAAAAGTGAATTTTTTTCAGGGACCTTATACTTTACATTTTTTAGACAGAGCTCAAATAATTTCTTAAATCTTCAAACTTGAATTTGACTTTCCGTTTCGTATTTTATGTAAATTTCAAATTAAATGTTTAGAAATTTAATAGAAAGGCCCAATGATGCCACCCCACAAGGCTGTGCACAGTTTACGAAGGCTAGCGAACGACAGGGTATTGTACACGGTGTGCGGGGTGATCCTTGAAGAACTCTTCTTCGGGGAGCAGGGGCAGTGGGAGCAGCTGGGACACCCCGTGCTCACCCCCAGACTGCAAGTCTTCAGAGATGTGCTTTGTAACGCCTTGGTGCCGAAACTGCTGCAGGTGAAGACTTGAAACTCCGGGCAAAAAGATTCATTTTGGTAAACCAAAATGCTCGATAAGATGAACCAATTATCTTGAAAATGATTTCTACTTGATTGTTCGCATTATTGCGCAGAATTATTTCAATATTTAAAAATCCTTTGCAAAAAAAAAAACAATTTGGCCTATTCAAGATATTAGAAAAAGTGAACCAAAAACTCTGAAAAATATCAATGCTTCATTATTCATATTATTGCCCCGAACAAATTTAAATCCATTTCATCTAAATCCACGACTATTGATATCGAAATGATTTTTAAAATGTATATTAATATCCAATATTCCCACTACAGGAGCTTCTAAATACAATTTTGGAGCGCAATGAGGCAGTTGAAGCGACCGTGCGGTTCACGGCAGTGCAGTTGCTGCTGGTGCCCGGCGTGACGAAGCTTGCGGTTGGCCACTTCCCTGAACCGTTCTACGCCCCCATCCTCTCAGCCATCGCAGAGAGCGCTGCTCAGCTACAAACTCTCGACCTCCGGGGCGTTTGGGTCAGGGAAATGCACAAGTTCTACCTCTGTAAAGTTATTAGGTGAGGAAACGATCATCGTTGTTTCTGTGAGACAATTACAGGGGGGGAGACAATTTTTGTAATTGTTTTTTTTTTGTAATTGTTTTTGTGAAACAATTGCAGGGGTTGGACAAAATAAGGGAAACACATAACACTTCGACATCATAAAACTTGAACACGTTTCAAAGAATAAAAACTTGACATATTTAATGTTTTTTGTTTTATTTTTGATGTATTTTTGCTGCTAATTGAAAGCTTGTGCTTTCAAAGATGTGACGCGAAGTCACAGACAGACAGACAGACGGACGGACAGACGGACAGACATGACGAGCACATTAGCGCCTTTTTTCCATAAATTAGAAAATGCGCTAAAAAGGTAGAAGAGGGTTAAACTGGGTTTAGCCTGAAGAGGGTTAGAGTGGGTTCAGCTGAAGAATGGATTAAAATTATTTTGGAAACAATTCACAATTTTTACGAATCAATACCTCGGAGAGTTGAGGCTGTAATTGCCGCAATAGGTGGACCTACACCTTAATAAAATACATTTTTTATATTGCCCTTATTTTGTACAACCCCTGTATGTGGCTAATATATAGGTCTAGAGGTATAAGATATTTATTTATTCAGATATGACATAAAATTCCTCCTGACGCACCTTTCTTTGCACCTTTTTATTCCGTTCCTTTGCACGGAAATTCCTTTGCACCTTTATTTCCGTTTACTCTCTCTAACTGATCTTCCACAATTGATTTCCGTACACTTCAATTTTTATTGAATTTTTCAGGCGCATCCATACCATCCGACACTTGACACTTCGTTACACAAGTGACGACGAAATCTTGGCGATCGTTGGGAAGCACTGCCCTCAGCTCGAGACTCTGGACATTTCTGGATCAGAGAACATCTCTGAGTCCGGCATCAGGAGTCTATACGAGAAGCGCATTAACGATGTTTTTAAAGGCTTTAATGACTGTGCAAAGACACTTAAAGTTGTAGACATCGGTGGACCTGGAGCCCAGCATTTACCTGTGAGTCAAGTCAGTCTGCTATTAAGGTTTTTGCCCAATTTGAACAGTTTGGGGGCATTCGAAAGAACTGGTGCTGCAGTCGAAATACTTTTTGAAGAAGATCCTACTTTGCGATTTAATCTAATTTATTTGCATGACCTATACACGACCAAACAGAGAATGGAGATAATAGTCAAAGCATGCCCAAAAATTCAAGGAATGTATTTAGACTGTCCCAAGGCATCGGCAGTGCACATAATCCACTTGAACAAAGAAATGAGAAATTTAAGGGTCCATAAATGCAGATGGAGTGATTTGGAACTCACGCTCCTCAATTTTCATTCACGTCTACGAACTTTATACATGTCGACTATCTTTGGAACAGTCAACATTTTATCTTTGTCTAAATACTGTCCGAACTTGACAAGAATTGAGCTGCACGGAGTAACGCTCATCAGTTCAGTTCCAGACTCGCCCGATCCACAAACTTATCGTATATTTCCTGAATTAAGAGAGCTTCTGATTTACCGGACGCCAGTATCACCATTATTGATGGGTACGTTTATGAAGAGCAGCGAAGTATTGGAACACCTGTCGTTTGGTGAATGTAACCAGATCACTGACGAAGACTTGAAAGACCACTTAAACTCGAGTACTTTAGAACATTTAACACAGCTTTGGTTTGGTCAAGCCCAGCAGCTATCTCTGCCAAGCTTGCAACTTATCATCGATAAATGCCCGCTTGTCACCAGCATTGGGAATTTGGCGGCATGGGCGCTGAATTCGGCTGAGATCGTTTTTATGAAAATGCAACTCGAGTTGAGCAACACGGACCTCACCCTCCATGACTACGGTTCCTTGGAACAGGGAGAAGGATTCATAATCCTCCTCCAAGAAGAGGACCATGAAGAGTAATAAATGTCACGGTTTCCGCATGAAAGTTGTCGTAAACAGGCAATCATTTTAATAAGGAGTTTCTCCTAGTCACACCCTTCTTTTTAAGATTCATATAAGAATTAGAATAAATTTGCAAGGGGAATTAATAATGCATTAAAAATATACTATACAATTGACGCGATAATGCAATGGACGACTCCAGGTAATAAACGCAAGTAAGACATTTTTGAACGAATAAATATTAAGATACAGCGAAAAACAAATTTGATATGTTATTGCATTGTGTTATCCCATTTATTGTGCTGTTATTTGGACATTTATATTAATATCGGAGGAATTTTGGTTCGTACTGAACAAATTTTCCAAAATATAATTATTAATATTATCATTACTTTCCCTTACACCCTCCCCGCCTACAATCTTCTTCATTCTCCCTAAATTCAATGAATATTTCATTCCACTCTCAGTGCTGCCTGGTCAAAAAAATTGCACTTCATTCATTACCCGTTCTCTCACACATAACACTCACCACATCATACAGTATCAGTCGCTAAATCTTTAGTATTTCTCTCTCATTTAAATCAAACTTCGTCATCAGGCTTTGCACAGCTTCCTTCACTCATTCTCGCATGAATCATACATCTTTTTTCCGGGCATTCCACCTGAATGCACATCTATACACACTTGAGGCATTTGCAATCACATTGAACATTAGATCCGCTTTCCAATAACCACCATACATGCATTCATACCTGGGCATCTCTTTCATCTAATATAGTTTAGGCTATCCTTTCCTATCATTCATAGCTTCCATACTCTTAAGCCTAATACATTAAAGCTCTTTTCTATTTATCTCTTCAATTTTTTCACATCCCCCTTTATTCCTGAAGCACTCTAGCTGTCCCGTCTTTGTCCATTTCACACTTTAATCAGAGTGCCATCAGGCGCTTTTTCAGCGCCCATGTCTCACGGAACTCACCCTTTCACTCAGAAAAAATGGGGTCATGTTGTCCGAATAGTGACACGCTTTTCTGCAGGTAGCATTGATACACGTTTATGTCGGGCCATACTGGGTCAGAATGACCCACGCAATGGCAGAAAAAGCCCCACGTGCCCAACGTTCATCAACCATTAAATCCAGTCGTAATTATGTATCCTTAAACCCGATTTATCTCTGTCAGTCTGCAAAATGTGAATACTTAAAATCGTTGAATTTTCAATCGTCTTATGCATTGAGTTTTTTTTACTATTATATAAGTGACTCGAAGCGAGAAGAAATGTTGTCGCATGGATGTGTTCCAACGCTGTTTCTTTAGTTTATAGCCGTGGCCCCTGGTGTTGGTTCTTGTTTCTTGTTCATCTCTTCCATTCTTTCACATCCCCCTCTATTCCTCATGCACTCTAGCTGTCCGTCAGTGTCCATTAAACACTTTAATCGGAGTTGCATCAGACGCTTTTTTAGCGCCCATGTCTCACGAAACTCACCCTTTCACTCAGAAAAAAGGGGTCATGTTGTCCAAATAGTGACACGCTTTTCTGCAGGTAGCACTGATACACATTTATGTCGAGCCATACTGGGTCAGAATGACCCACGCAACGGCGCAGTTATCGATGTCTGCGTGGTGGCCTCATTGAAGTATACACGCATACTCATGGTTCATACAAGGTCCCAGAAGGATTACTAGAATTTGAAACAAGAACCAACACCAAGGGCCACGGCTACAAACTTAAAAAACAGCGTTGGAACACATCCATGCGACAACATTTCTTCTCGCGCTTCGAGTCACCGACATGAGGAACAGCCTCCCTGATAGCATCGTTGACGCTCCGAGTATGAACGCCTTCAAGAACAGACTAGACGAAGCTATGCACGAGCATATGTTCAGTCTTAAAATGCCTAGCACCTTACGGACCAGGCAATAAGTCCAGCAGCTATCTCAATCAATCGTCAGTTATGGAAAGATCGGGTTCCAAAGGCCGGATCCTTTGTGAATAAAGTCACGAAAAGTACAAGAATCGGCAACAGGCCATGGGCCTATTTCTTCAGTGCCGACACTTCTATTCTATTCTAATGGCAAAAAAGCCCCACGTGCCCAAATTTCATCATCCATTCAATCCAGTCGTTATTATATATCCTCAAAGCCGATCTATTTTTGTCGGTCTGTAAAATTTTAATACTTAAAATCGTTGAATTTGCAATCGTCTTATGCATTGAGTTTTTTTTTACTATTATATATAACAGAGTGTTGCTTTGAATCTATCAAAGGATCGAGCGCTCCTATCGTGCATTTAATTTTAAATCATGAACAGATTTGAATAATTCACATTAACGTCAAATGGAGCCAAATAACAAGTCGAATTCAGCCTAAAATTAAATGGTAGCATGAATTCCTTTGCCGTATATTGTCGGGAACAGAAATGAGACGTGCAAAGTCTACCGCCGTGCGAGTGTAGGCAATAGTTCGTCTTAGGTCGAGACGGTCAGTGTCAGTCGCACCTGTGCAGGCATTAAGAGAGGGTCAGCGACGTTTGCCCACAAGAAATCGGTTGCTCTTCAGAAAAGACAGAAGAAATCTCCAGAGATATTCTAAATTTTAATGAATTTGAGACTTTTCAAGCTTGCAAATACTCAGTAATCTTCCACTTTATAAGAAAGTAAGTGTATACATATAAGACAAATATTTTTATAAATTATAATCGAGCATAATCTCATAAATAGATTGAGTAATTTCATCTATCATTGAATAGAATCTGTACAGAATGTATAAATTGAAAGTAATGAATTATTTTTAAGGCATTTGTTAACTACAAATGGTCTAACGTGGATTAATAGCAACAAATTTCTGCAATTTAACTTTCAACAAAAACTAATGGACAGAGAAATTGTACATAAATATATCAAATTGAAACATTAATCCTAAACCTAATGATGATTAAAATAATATATTATGCATAAATATTAATACAACTATAATTGCCTCAAAACTAAACTTCTCATGATTTTCCTTAATGTCCCTATAATGAAATGCTACTGGTTTCCTCTAAGATTCAAATTGGTTGTTGTTCAATTGTTAAGATTTGAAGTGGTGGCTAAAGAACTGATGTTTATTTTATTTATTTCTACGCTCGATCACAAAAATTGTATGTACCTAAGACGCAAAATTTACCTTAACGGCGACGCCCATGATGGTGAGTAAAATGCAGGATTTATGTGTGTATTGTAACCAAAATTCGCAAAACGGCTAAAAACGGCCATAGTGCTAACACCGGCTAGTCAACTGCGTCCTAAAAATCGCATCGACCAAGCCGCAGCAAAAACTTTGAGATTTACACTCGAGAAAAGGAATGACTTGAAAAAAAACGTACGTCGACGAGGAACTTCCGTGCTAAACCGCATTGTTCACAGAACTCCTCAGGGATGTTTACTTTACTTGTGAGTCAAGAACAAAGCTTGTCCCGTGGGCTGATACATGCCAATCATGGAGCGGGAAATATTTTCGGAGGCCAAATCATTCCTGAGAAAGTCAATGCAGAGAAATCGTAAAAAACTCATTGTATTGAACGTTAACTCCGAAATTGTGACATTTTGTAATTTATGAGTCAGAATGTGTGATAAATTAATTAATTTCACGTCTGGTCTAATCCGCGATATAATTAAGCGAGGTATTTTAATCGAATAGAAACACCTTAAGACGAAATTTAACTTATAGAGGTCTTATATGACTGATTAAGAGCATTGTATGCCTAAACGGAAAGAATTAGAATTTGATAAGCAATATTGCAATCGAACACCATAATATTTTTAGGACGCTTGAATTGTGAACAAGTTTACCATTTTTCATAGTAGAATTTATGTTACCGTTATTTGTCCCCAATAAATATTTTAAACGATTCCCCTAATTACGTTTTAAATTTATTATAGTCGAATACGGTCATCGTAACCGAATTGCCTTGTATATGAAACAAGAATTAGACAGACATAATTAAAGTCAAATGGTAAAGTATCGCTGGAGCACCCATTTATCGTATTGATACGACAGATTTAACGGTAAAGAAGCGGTAAAATATCGATGGGGCTTCCGTTTACCGCATTAATACGAGAAATTTGACGACAAAGAAGCGGCCAAGTATCGATTGAGCATCGGTTTATCTATTAATACGATGGATTTAAGAACAAAGAAACGGTAAATTATCGATAAAGCATCCTTTTATCGTATTAGTACGATAGATTTTACGACAGTGCAACGGTTTCGTGGGACGTGAGCCCTGAGGTAGTCGCTGCAGGCTCCGCAACACAGGCCAGGGGCGCATTCCTCCGCAGTGTACCTCGAGTTGCTCGGCTAAAAACATCGTACAAATTAACGGCTCACTAATAAAGGCACTAATTTCGCACGTTGAAAGATACGCAGAAATTCATAGAGCGTAGCAGTTCTTGCGGAAATCGGTTTTATATTATTCCGCACCAAGAATATTCATATAATTAAAATTTTTGAGAATAGAACTCAATGGTCTAAGTAAAATTCGGCGAGATGAGCGATTAGAACTGAGAAAAATAGCAGGAACAAACATGTTTTTGTAAAGCAGTAAGCTGTGTTGATGAAATAAATAACACCGTAAATATTTTAAGTGAATGGTTGAATGTATCTTTCATATAACAAGTTCGATAGTGACCTTCCAGACCTTCATATCATTCGATATCAAACCTTCAATGAATATCGAACTTGTACAATTATAAATGATCCTCGAACTTTCGTCAAGATTTTCTTGCAACGAATCAGCGAAAATGGAGTCTTGAAAAACACCTGACATTGCCATCGCTGGTCGGCTCAATTCCAGAGATGCCACCGGATGAAAAATTGGCACAGGATCACCTATTAGCCGATGAGACTCTGAACATGAAAAGAGGCAATTAAACCTGTTACCATCCATATTTGGTCTGGTCCCGAACTTCGTACAGGAGCAGTTGTTGCTCAGCAACATCTGGTAAGATGAGCAGGCATCCGTCTGCCTCGTACTCGGTGACCTGGGCCTATACTTCCAAAAAAAGTTAAGAGATCGTAAGTTCATCAGCCAATCATTGACGGCCTTTCAAGCAAAATCCACCAATCATAGACAAGAAAATAGAGCGTAAGTATTTACGTTCACTTTGCGAGTTTTGAAAGTATGGCCCCTGTATACTAAGTGTATAGTATATATGCTATTATATAGAGAAGCGATTTCGGTTTTCTCGAGATCTTTTATGAACTTGCATATGTATGTTGAACGAACCGTGCAGCTTATCAATATTTTCAGATGTTACCAATTTTACGAAAAACCTGACTAATGTTACATTTAATTTCTTTTACAATGAGAAGCATACCTCACCAAAAAAACCTGACAAGTATTCTCAGTGAAACGATTTCATATAGATCAGAAACTAATTTTTAGGAACAGCGTCACCACAACTAGACTGTGTCGAGCATCGTCCAAAGTAAAAAATTGCGTGGATCTGCTAAAATGTCAATGGAATATAAAGTCGGAAAAAGTTTACTTCTGAAATTAAAATTTCAAAACGGCTCACTCAAATTAGAGTTGCGCCATACCAATGGTCACCGTTGCATTTAGCCGCTGGCCCCGTAGCAGCACTCCGATGTCGACCGCATTCCCAATACAGCTCAACACGTTGACTTCGAAGTGGTACATATGCACACCACGAAATGTATTTCTCCAGGAAGTAGTGATACATAATTCGGGGTCGCCAGATGGCTAAAAACGGCCAAGTCCGCGAAAAAAGGCCAAAAAGGCCTATAACTCATTATGTACTAGTATATTTGTAGGTTCCGGTGTAGAAATTCAATTTCTTGCTTTTGAAGATTTTAAATTTAATTAGGAAGTATCCCTTAGCCGGCCAGCGTAGTTGAAGAAAATAAATCGCGGAATTTATCCGAAAAAGATCGTCTGGAAACCGTGTTTCATAATAATACAAAAAATGAAATAATGGTACAAGATGAAGCAATCGGAGTCAACGTTTTATGGGGAAGACACACAATATTTTCAAAGAAAAAAATAACTCTACCGACCANGGGGAAGACAAACAATATTTTCAAAGAAAAAAATAATTCTACCGACCATGATACGCATGCGCGTCACTAAGCACAGTTCTCTAATCTAATCAACGTTCGACATGCATCTCTCGCTACGAGCGGCATATACCACAGACCGCATTATATAGATTAAAATTCATCAAATTACATGTTTGTTTCAAGCTATGCTATATGATTATTTGATAAAAATGTTTTCGAAACCTCAACGCCTTTTAAGTAGTTATCTTCTCATTTCTCAATACTTTTCCACCGCTGCTAGCCGCAAGCGTTGATTATTGCCATGGAAATTGGGGTTAAATAGCGTTTCCATGAGTTTCTCCATAAACCTTCAATTTTATGGATAACACTGCATACATACATGTCTCTTTAAAACTTATACGTGTCTGTCGTTAAAAGTCGAATTGCCTGTGGTCCACTATTAATAATTTAGCTTAATTTTCAAGTGCTTAGCAGCTCTACGTTTCGTTTCGAGCTCAACGTAAACCGCCTGCATGTTTGTTCCCTCAGACACTCCCATCAGTCCTTCCTCGCATGCAACCACGCACTTGGTCCCATTAAAGCTGTTCATTTAAACGCTTCTGTGCGGCTTCCATTGTCCACCTTGCGAAGCCACTAACGACACAAGAGGCCTCAGGAGCCAATAATGCGCTTCTTGATTATCGCAAGCAACGTTCATAAATGCCTGGCCAGACAGCGCTCGCTATATTTGACTGAGTTACGGCCTACATGTGAACGTGAGAGGCCGCCTTAAATTCGTTCAAGAAGTCGTGTGAGATTTCTTGTACACCAGCAACGTTTTCTTTTGCGCCCTTAATATATCATGAAGTGATGGAGAAATTTATGTCACGTACAAAATAATTTTCAGGAGCGAGCATGAAGCAAACAACAGGAGAATCGATAGCGTTAACCCACCCATTCAGTATCTCTTACTATTTACAATTTTAACTTGGCGGCCACGTTTATGACTAAAATAACCAATACTACACCGCGTACTGAATGAGATTGGCAGTAAATAGAATCAGAATTTTTCCGTCATCTCATAATTGATCTTTTATTGTCGAACCCAGCCTTCAGATATTACGTACAATATTCTTAACAGATGGCAATGCGTCCAGCTTTCCCGGCGTTGCTCCTGTTGTCAACTTTGGCACTTGGGACTTCAAGCGGCCAGCCTCTCGAGTCCGTCGACCTCATGTCCCTGATTTCTCTGGTGGCTCCGCGTTACTCCCGAGCTTCCCCTGCACACTTCCACACACAACCTCTGAACCTCAGCTACACGACACTGACCGTGCCTGTCGTGCACACGGTCACTGCCGTGCACTATCACACGTGCACTGCCGTGCGCCCCGGCACGCCGCCATGCGCACAGTCTCATGGTCCTCTCGTCGTCACGTGAGTCGCATGCTTAAATTTTTTGTCGTAGCAGTGAAAATAATTTCAGTATTAGTTTATGGATGGTAGATTCGTTTTCTAGGACTTGGAGCATGCATTTCGATGCCCATAATATCATCTGCCCTTACAAATAGCACGAGTGAAGGCATACCATTTCTAACGCTTATGAATAATAATCGTTCGACAATGAAGTTGTACATCAATTGAAACATATCTGTCTCATTGAATTGAGAGATGATTTCCGTCTTAAACAATATATATGAATAGATAGTTTTTCCTCCAATTTTTGCTCCCTTTTGTGCGCCAATATTACCTCCCAAAAATCATATACTCTTCAAAATTCGAAACTAATTTTTCATCACGTTCTGATGACGTTAACTTGATTCAAATACTTAATTAGCTACAACACACATTAGCCTTCCTTTCCCGCGAAGGAGAGACGGATGCATCTGCATTGTGATAGCAAGGAAATACCTCATTAAAAGTTTAGGCAAGAGTCGATGAACTCCCCATTGTACTTTCATGAACCCCATTCACGAAAGAAATTCTGGGAATTTTGAACTCTCCCTAGTCATCGCCGTACTAAGATCCAGTCAAATTCTCACATATCGGCTAAAATTCTTTGCTTTAGATAAGATTTAGCAAGTAAAGAAGTTCGAGATTACGATGAAAATCGCATCATCAAGGTTTTAATACAATCATGCTCTTTGTTATAATAGAGCTAATGTCCATAGCAACCATGTTACATCAGATTATATATATTAATAATTGAAGCGGCGGAGATTTTCAGAGATAAGAACTATACAGAGGGCGGCGCTTGATTCTATTGATCCGTAATTAAGTTTAAGAAATGAGTGTATTGCAAGCCTATTATTAGGCACTATTACTAACTTAGAACGCAATTTGCAGAGCCACGTCCATGGAAATTGGTTCGGCCATCGTTACTCCACTAATGTCGTCCGTACCGGCACAGGCAGTGACCGGTGTCCAAGAAACTTCAAACTTCATTCAAAAGCCCTTAAAACTGATACAGTCTCTAAATGAAAACAGCGACGTAGTCGAAGATCATCACGCCGAAGCTGTGAATGATGTCCAGCTACAGCAACTTGAGGAAAACAATGAAGATGCGCAAGATAAGAGTATTTCAGGGAACACAGAAGCCGTAAACCAAGCATCCCGCACCGCTCGCTTGTTCTCCGGACTTTCCATGATCGTTTTGACAAGGTCCGTGTTTGAAACTCAGACATCCACGGTTACTGTCACGGACAGCCTTACTACTGTGGCGATCACATACGGAGGTTGTGTGCCCTCTGATGCGTTCAGCACTGTCACTTGCCAACCTTAATTAAGCTTTATTAATATAACCATTATTATTAAAGATCAATATTAGGAGCTGGGCACAAGGCATTCATTGTGGGTTATAATTATTATAAAGTCAGTTTATAGGTGTTATGTATTCTTCTCTCGTTATTTATAAAGCAAGTTACCTCAGGGCATATTGTATACATAAAGAGAACAATTGATTTAAATTTTAAAAATGTACACTACACGTAACGCCAACTCACCACTTCAATGATTAAAGTTTTGATGGTATATTGTATCTGTAATTGGAAGATATGAGTACATTAACTAATCAGCTGTTCGAGTTAAACATACGTAATATGTACGACCCGGGAGACATTTGATTGTTTAGTTGCGAAACGATTGACTTGTTTTATACAGAATTATAAGATAAAATATTGCGCCGAACTTGTGTTAATGTACGCGTTAAAATATTAAAATACTCCAAAATAAATACACTATAAATACGAGCATGTTATCGGACCTTCATGTTTACCGTGTGCGTAAAATGAGATTGTTAATAAGGTTGAATTAGATGTAAGATTTCAAAGATCACAAAAGTTAGTAATGTACAATACCTTATCTAATGAACAAACTTGATTCATAGGCGATACTCAGCCCAAAACCGGTCGCCACCTATAGTTGTTTTCAGTTCTAAAATCACTTGTTTGCTTAAATCGCAAGTTAACTAGGAATTTCAAAGCAAAAACAATACCCCAAAAATTCACCATATCTTTATAAGAGAAAACGTTATAGTCGTTTCTCTTATAAAGATATGGTAAATTTTTGTGGTATTGTTTTTGCTTTGAAATTCCTGTTTTCAGTTCCATATGATCCTTCTCGATCATCCTGTTGTGCATCCTGTGTTGCCAAGACACATCCCTAGATTTAATTATGTGTTGCATAAAGCAACTTTAATTAGAGCCTCTTAAGAAGACACCGTCCATTGTGTCGTCGCTATACCGGAAGATTGACTCATTCGTTGCCGCAGTTTCAAGGCTATGTCGAGCGACAGCGTTGAGCGGTCGCGATACTTAACACTTATAATAAAAGCTTTTGCAATCATCATAAGTTTAACTATTGAGGTGAATTCAAAGTGCGCTAATTTTAAGTTAATGCGCTAATTTTAAAATTAGCGCAAAGTGCGCTAATTTTAAACTAATTTTCAGTTCCAGTAAGAAATCTGATTTTTTATTGCATCTTCAACGATTATTTCGAAAACAATAGAAAATTGCGATTCTATAATGTTTGGACAGTTTTTAACATGAAAAAAATTCATTCACTTATTTCGAACGATTTCAATAATATATATGAATTGAAATTTAAATGTAAAATTATGATTCATGAAATGAGATCGAAATTTTGTAAGCATGTCATACATAACGTGTATGTATGACTAATATGCTAATCGTAATATGTGTATTATAGATAACATACATTAGGTCACTGCATGGCGCAGATCATGAATGAATTTCGAGATTATCATTCGTAAACAACTGAAGTAAATGAGTGACAATTTCCATGCATAAATTTGGATACAAATATGCAAAATTAAACAAAATCAGGAGGTAAATGCACTTTTTATCTACGAATACGTAAAATAACTAATTGACCTCAAAGGGATCAACGCGAAAAAATATACTTTTTGGGAACATGACAAAATCGTTATGTTAATAGTGCTGATAGTGCAGAATTCTTATAGCTTGTTTAGTTTTTGAACCCGCAACTTGCTGCTCAATCTTGGACTCTGAACGGTAACCATTAGGCCAACCAGGTTACAGTGCTGCGAAAAAGATGGACTAGACTGGCTGCACGAGTTGCGCATTCACAAGGTCACAGTCGAAAATGTCATGTCAGACAACAACAGCGAATTCTTATCAACCTTGAGCTCAATGCAATCAATAATCATGTCAAGTGAAAGAGAAACAATATATTAAGGAGGCGCCTCAGGATATCAGGATGTCCCTGATGTTAGGAAATTCTTACCCGCGACATAATGTTTGTCGAGTGGAGAACATGTTTCGGTGAGTCGCAGCAAGAGTACGAGAAAGAATTTTCTATATCCTAACCTGGGCCTATACTTTCAAAAAAAAGTTAAGAGATCGTAAGTTCATTAGCCAATCATTGACGGCCTTTCAAGCAAAATCCGCCAATCATAGACAAGAAAATAGAGCGTAAGTACTTACGTTCACTTAGCGAGTTTTGAAAGTATGGCCCCTGATCTGTTTCTCCGTTACCGACATTCATTCTGATTAATACTAGTGGGACTCCTAGTAAATTGGTTGCTGGTAGACCAGCATGTTGGGAAAGAGCTCTGTATCACGAGATGTCTTTACGACGAAATCATATTACGCGACGGCAAGAGGGCTGACATTGCAACCGACTTTCAATTTATGCAATACGCTGCATTTAGTAAAGCATTGCATTAATTTGTTGTGATAAATATTGAAAGGCTAGAAGTTATTGCACAACGGGCTGACCAACTTTCACTTCATAAAATTTCACAATTATGCGATGCCATAGTACGTGTATTCTATGATTGAAAAATGATTTGGACGAGCAATCAAGTTCACCGTCGAAAAGAGCTAAAATTCTACCTCCATCATCATAATTACAATTAATATGAGTATGAAGAATTAAGTCACAGTTTCTTTTTGAATTTGTATGGATTATAGTGCAATGTTTGCAGTAGATTAGCAGCACTCAATTATTTTCATCTTTTTACTACAGTATAAGGTGCCACATTAATCGTATTTTGCTTAACACCATTGTTGTAAACATCTATACGTTGATACATATGCAAATAAAAGCCATACATTTTATGATACCCTCCATTACCCTCGAAATAATGATAAATTAACAAGAGAGATTTACTCCCAGTAGGGGATAATGTTGAGGTGGTATTGCCTTGATATTATGTCAAGAAATTTTTACCTAAAAACATGAAGAATGTAAAATAGGAACTTAAATATTAGCAATAATTTTGCTAAATGCATTGGAGTCACTCATGTAGTAACCTTTTATCGGTCTTCGGAACGAGTTTGCTGCAATTACCTAAAGCTGAACGACTGATCATTATGTCTCTTAAGAAACAGATGAAAAATATTTTCAAGAAGATATGCAATGAAAAGACATACGGAGTTTCAATGCTAAATTATCAATAATGGTAGGAAATTAAATAAGCAACGTTCTAAGTCTCAAGCAGACTTTAATGATTTTAGAAATAAAGGCCTATCAATCTCTAATGTTTCTCAGCCCCATGATTCCTTGAAATTAAACTACATTTCGAGTAGCCCGAATAACCAAATTTAAACAAACTGTTATATGTATTTGTATTCGCACATATGGATAAATTCTTATCATAACGGCATCAACAAACTGAATTACAAGTCTCTCAACAGAATTATAATGTTCATATCCCAACCAGTCAGCAACCCACTCCACCGGAGCCACCCAGATGTGTGATTCAAATAGCGGACCGCGATACAAGGCATAAGGCGGTTCAAGTTGTCGCTTCCATTCGTATGCCAACCGCCGTAGAGATTGGCGGTAGAAAAGCTTACTCCGGTCCATGGATGTAGAGGTTTTTCAGAAGTGCATTGTTTTCAAGAGCTTGAAAGGGAATAGTTACACGAGTGGTAAAATTATTGCTGAGATTTATGATTTTACAAGGAAGTATAATAACTGAGCTTCTTGGTTGATCTACAGGCGGCGAATTAATTATTCACATTGACGTTTCATAACTCACAAGATGTGAAACACATTATACATTGCTATTGTATGGTGCATAGGATAAAAATAACTGGCTATTAAAGCTTAAGCATTTCTATATTTCGTATTCACGTTCGTCGAGTGAAGATTTTTTTGTAGAGTCTGGGCATAAACCACCGCCATGCGATCACTTGCATGCGTATTATTTGTTTACGTCCTCGCAGCAGCTCGGAGTCAGAGCGATCTAAGAAGCCAAGATTCAAAAACCCAGACCCATGAAACGGAAGGTTCATCCGCTGAAGTACGATTTTTGACTTTACAAAAAACTCGGGGTGACATCCCAGCAGATTCTGATTTTGAAAACAGAATGGGAGTCATCGGTCCCAGCTCCACGTCTCTACCGCCACGTTTTGGCCCAGTTCAACAGACGACGATCCCGCATAGTGGGTCGGAACTGTCTCCCCATTTCCAGCATCCTTTTCCTCTATTGCCGGACTCGGTTTACAACATTTTCTCGCTCCAGGACGCGTTTGGAGGCGCACCACTTCCCATAGACGCCGAGGAAAGACAATTCAAAGTTGTTGACCCTCTTCGCTTGAGCCGAGAGGACGACCTCAGCCTCAAACTCAAAGCTCTAGCACAAGCCCAAGCAACCGATGGTTCTTCAGGTAACAACTTGCATTAATAATTTTTAGGTGCCTCAATATTTCTGGATTGCCTTTGTCGGCATAAATTTGTGGAATTAAATTTAATATAGATTCACTTTAAGGGATTTTTTTTTAATTTTGCAGCGCCGAATTTTTGTTTTACAATTGATCAAAACTTTTTGCCTAGACAATGAGGCGAAATTTTAAGTGGAACAAATTCAGCAAACGCAATTATGTCCGACAGAAGTCAGTACTGATAGCTGCAATTAATACGGCTCAACAATCATTTCATTCTTCCATTGTCTCGCCAATAATTTTAAACAGTTTTCCTTGCTGTAAGTTCCTCTCTCATTTTTTTTACATAAACCGTCAATGTCGATACAGAGAGACTCTTCATACTTGCGCCAGTAATGACATGTATAATTGAGATAACTTCACTTACATAATGTCATTGTATCAATAATAATATTATATCATTCATCCCGCTTTAGAAATAATGAATATCAATTTACAATGTTCACTGTTGCCGAGTGTTTCAGAGCAGATGTTTGTCAAGTGCAGGTAGGGCATTTCCCATATTTTGAGTTTCATGAAAGTTTACGAGTAAGAATATGAAATTATCATGTCTCTTACACTCACATTCGTCATTCAGTAAGAACCTTTCTTTGAAAAGTTTGACCCAACGACAATTAGCATTAAAATTGAAGTTTTTCCAAGGAAGATTCAATTATATAAATTTTGTAGAAAAAATTCGTGTGAGCGCTACATTTGCATGAATATCTGTTGCACCTGCCCCTACGTAACGTAACGAAAATGTGCGTTCCGTACAAGAAGCTTTTATATTTACGTCGGAACTTGAAAATATACTTCGGAAATTCTCATTGTCCAATTGATTCTTGGAACTTTGTTTTTGCCACGTTACATATATGGTTCTGGTCCTGTGTGTTGTTGCAAGAATATCCGGGTTTTGTTGAGTGCAACGTCCGGCTTTTGCAGGAGGCAGCTCCCATGAATGCGACGTCTTCATTACCACGGAGGAGTTCTTCATCCGCTCCCCCAACTACCCCTACAATTACCCCCCAAAGTCAGTGACCTTCGAAATTCAAAAGAAT